GCATCACGTTTTCATCAATCTTTAAGATGCTTTCTCTTCGTACATTCGCACGTTCCGTGCCTCGCACACTCTCGCGGTCCCTCGCTACCACTTCCCGGTCCTCCTTCCTGTCGGTTCCCAAGAATAGCTTTCTGCAAGCTTCGTTGAAGCAGGCTACAAAGCCCTCCTACGCTGCCTTCTCTACCTCTAGTGTTTTCAGACAATCTCCTGCTGAAGGTAAAGTCTTCTATAAAGATTTTCCTCCAAATTATCTATGGAGGGAAAGACAGTCTCAAATTTTCTCTTCTTATCTTCATTTATTGATCGGGCCCGAGTTCCGGTGGCTTCACGAGGCTAGTTTTATTGAGCAAAATGTCAAGCTAACGTTCAATGTCTTCGAATTAGGTGACGTCGAACTTGCTGCTAAGCTTGAGGATGAATTGAAACATGAGAAGGCCTCCGGCCTCGAGGATCTGGAGACCTCGGTCCAGAACATCCAGTATGTTCTTCAGAACAACTCCTGGGAGGTGAGTATCGAGCCACAATCATCATTAATTTCGACACGACTCACGGATTGTACATAGGTGAAGGATGTTCCTGGTGAACAGGAAGTTGTGTTGACCAAGAAGTTCGGCAAGGAGGAGTAAGTATCTCTCACAGAGAACCTTTGGCTCCTTCGCTAATACTTCCATCTACGGACAGGATTCGACTCACCTTCACCGTCGCCGACCTCCAGAACCTGAGCGAACAGGAGGATTTTGATGACAGCGCTTTCGCCGATGAGATGGACTTCCAAGGCCATCAGCCCGCTAACCAGGGTCGCGGTGCCCCTGGTGGTGTTGCTCAGCACCCCGAGGATCGCATTGCTCCCGCTGACCGCGAAATGGAGGATCTTGACCGTGATATGGAGCCAAGCTTCCCTGCTCGTGTCAACATCACCATCGAAAAGCCCGGCAACGGTTCTCTCCTGATCCAGACTGTTGCTCAGGACGGTCTGTTCCAGATCGAGGAGGTGTCTTACTTCTCCAAGCCCGACCTCGCCCACGCCCAAACTGCCGAGCAAGACTGGGCCAGACAGAGCCTCTACGCTGGTCCTCCTTTCGAGAACCTCGACGAGGACCTGCAGACCTTCCTCGAGCGCTACCTCGAAGAGAGAGGCATCAACGCCGAGCTCGCCAACATGATTCCCGACTACATTCAGGTCAAGGAGCAGAAGGAATACGTTCGCTGGCTCGAGAGTAAGTTTGATCACTGCCATTCATGTGTTCGCTCGTGTAGCTAACACCGTCGGTCGCAGACGTCAAGAACTTTGTCGCCGCTTAAATGCCCGAAATCTTCGTGGCCAAAAACTGCTCTGAAGTCCTTACTAGGTCTTCTCGTACATTGTATCAAAACCCGTTGGGAAATCATACCTACTTATCCACTATTCCCCCATTTGTGTATCATTAGAAACGAATTCAGGATCATATGTTGTACGTAGTTCACATTTAATTGAAAACGTTAAACCACGTTAAACCACTATTCAACCAGTCGTCAACACTATCGCCCAGTTTGCCATGGTAGCGTAGAGTGACAGGTAAAATATGAGTTTTCGTATCGGATCCTTGATTCAATTGCGTGGCTTATATACAGCCTAAGTAACACGTATAAACGCCTTTAGTTCGCCAGCATAAACCAATATTTCCGCTAAGAACAGAAACCCGGAAATCCCAATATTAAGAACCCAACCATGAAAGAGAACAAATGCAGAGAGGATATGCCCTTAAAATTCCATGCTTTCTGATTTTACCTCAACCGGATCTTCATTTCCTCGTTTGCCGACGCGTTCCTCCTTGTTCAGAGAAGCGATGAATGAACGAAAGTAGTCAATATATGGCTTGAGGCTCGTCTTCTCGTACTCTTGCAATTTGCGACTTCCTTGGGAGTCGCTAGGCGTGCTGCTTTCGCCCTGGACAGCTTCAGCACCTGTATTACTGCCGGAGTGTTCGGCATCCCATGCATCAATCTCCGCCAGTAATTGAGTGACTGTTGGGACGGAAAGGGGATCGAATTCGTCCGCCTTTTTAGCGTCGATGGGAACACAGACACGCCCCGTACCGGGATGGATGACGAAAGGGCTCTTGAGCAAATGGATCATTTTCTTGCTGACTTCGGCATCAAGACGCGGGTATGTATATTCCAATACGATATCCTGTTTCGCGTCTCTCAGAGTGGTCGGGTTGAGAGTGCTGCTCTTGCCAGTTTTAGCAAGCGCGTCGATGTCTGCCCATTTGTTCGTACTGGACCGGTCGGGCAACGAGTCCCATTTCTTGCGCAGTGCGTCATTCAGTGTCTTGTCCGGTAGCAATGAGAGAAGGCGCTCCGCTTGTTCTGAGCTTGCGAACGTATCCTGGTCGACAAGTGTAGTTTGGGCGAAGAAGGGTTTGAGAATTTCAAGACTGCGGGACATATGTGGGTGTAATGGCCGCTTCATATTCACGCGCTTCCCGCTTTGAGAGCCGCCTCGCACAACGTCGAGATAGCCGGCAATGGCCCTTCGCCGGTCATCGGGAAGACTGCGAGCGCGCGGATCGCACACCCATGCGTGAGCACCACGACGGCCTGAGTACACCCAAAGGATGTGCTCGAAGCCAAAGTCTTCACGCAAGGCAGTGTCCACCACTTTCATTGCCATAGTCACGAAAGTCCAGCATTTCCGACAGATATTTGCCTTAGTGCAGCAAGACCGAATGTCATCATAATCCGTCAAATCAATATCGAATACTAGCTCTTTGGAGATTGGTTTCATCTGACCGCCTCGTAGTGTTTTCCGGTCCCGCGGGTTTGTGTTATACACCGGACCGATCTCAAATCGCGAAGGGTTCATTTTCAAGATATCCTTACGGAATCTAAGGGAAGCATTTGTCAGGAATCGATGAATTCTACGTGCACAGCTTCCCTCACTTACAGATCTGCAGTCGCGTATGATTGATAACGAAGATATGCGTCATTTTGAAGCGTAAGAGCGAATTCACGGTTCCCGAAATCAGGAGAGGGTATAATTCCATGGTTCAGCCATTGAAAGAGGTAGCGGAATGGAAACAGACGCTGGTAGAATGCGAGCATTATATCTGTGTCGACTTGTGTCGATTGAGGAGCGGGCCTGAATGTACATCAATGTTAGTGCCCTGCTCGAATGCAAGAACAAACTGCGCTTACTCCGAGGCAGCTGGGGGTGCTGTCGACTCATTCTGCGCTTCAGGAGCATTCAAAACCGGAAATTCCTCGTCGTTGTCCTCATCGCTGAACATATCTTCTAGCCTCACGCCTGTTGCCTGGTTTTCGCGCGCGGTTGGCGCTTTATCTTCCGTAGTGCTAGAATGCGCATCCGCCCCAGGGGCATCAGGGAGGATCTCATCATCATGCTCGTGAGCGGGAGACGCAGTGGAGGAAACTGAGTGAGGCATTATGTATCTGGTTGATAATGAGCAGTTGGGATAACTTTACGGACTCTCTGTCCTACAACATCATTCATGTAATCCACATCCATCAACGCGAGACGCGTCCCGAACGCGTGCCTCTAATTGAACGGGACACCGAAGTGACCCTTATCAGCCCTAGCCCTTATCCTTATCGATAGTAATCACGTGATGTTAATTGACCTGATAAGAACTATAACCGCAAACGGTCAGTTTCCCTGGAAGCCTCGTGCAACCACAACCTCGCCAGGAACGATCTCCTTCCCCTTTCAACTTCCGCTTGCGGAATCATTGTAAGGTCGTTCAACCGGTCGTCAGAGATTTCTTCCTCTGTTTGGCCCCTCTCGGGTGGTATGATGCTTACATCTGCCCTGATTCTCACGAAGACATCCAATCAAGAGAGATCCTCGTTACATCCAGAGAAAGGCTCCACCACCTTCGGCTTCAAATGTTCCTCGGGGTTCTTTTGCCATCGTACTTGAGCTTAGAAGACTTTATTGGCTGCAAGTGGTAACAGTGAGCATACCGAGATCTGTGCTTGGATCTGATATGCGTCATCGTCGATCGAACGCTTTTGCTTTTGAAAGCGCTTGACCACACTGGCAGCAGGCAGTAGCCAGCATTTGGGCATGGAGGCTCTCTTCTCTCGCAACGAGCTGAGCATTGCCCTAGCCTCCACTTACATGGGCCTCAAAACTATGGAGATTGGCTAAGCCTGCTGGATTAACTCTAGTACCTTTTGCTTCTCGTTGCTGCTAACCTTTTATTTAACTTCGGCAGGTAGCATTGTATGGGCGTACCCATTTCAAACTCCACATTCCAGTGTTTCTTCAGTCGCCTTTCTGCAGTGTGGTTCGATCATCTCAGACTGAGGCTCCATCGTGGCGCTCAGCTGTGAGCGGCTTTTTCCTATTTTTGCGTGGGGTGCCTCTTTCGTGACCAGATCTCAGTATCCGTGAGGACTCCATTCGGTAATGCTGGTTCATGTTACGTTTGTCTCACTAGGTGATGTTGGTGACGCCATCACTTGTGGTCCCTAGACTTCAGTGCCTCCTCTTGTTGCCCCATTTCTTGCGAGGTCGCGAAGGGTATCCTCGACCTTTCCCTGAATGACACTCCGAGATGTCACATCGATCTCCTGGTCTTGACACACGACACGCTCCCACGTAGGAGTTTTCTCTTGATAGCATTACATCGATACCTCTGTTATCCATGGTTCGATGGGGTGTTATCAGCCTACTCAGGCTGAAGGCGAATCAATGTTCAAGTTACCTGGGACCAGATATTGGTCGTCATCCTCGTTGCTCTTGGATACGACATGGTACCACTACCATTATCGGTAATCTCGTGAAAAGAGCAAGCGACTCCACCCTCGAGATATAAAGTTGAGTTCCTCCTGCGATCCTGACTCCTTTTCCTCTCAATTCTTTCTTTCACCTTTTCGTTAAAGAAAGTCGCTCGCTCTCAGACTCTTCATTCGTTATCTTCCTTGTTTCCTTCGGGAATTGTCATTTATTGCTATCCAGGAACTTCTGTCTCAATATCAAGCAATTAATTCTCAAAATGGTCAACGCTGGCATTGCACTTGTGGCTCTGGCCGGGCCAGCCTTTGCTGGCATTCTGCCGAACAAGGGACATGACGAGGTAAGCGTAGACCATCCAAGTCTCTCCTACCTCCTGCATGGCAGACCACTAAGATATGCTGTAATAGGGTCACTCTGGTCCAACTGCTCACCGTGACGAGCCTCACCGGGTCACCAGGACGAGAACTTTCTTGACCACATCCTGCCCAAGTATGGTGCTCCACCTGACCTTTTCAAGCGCATGTGTCTAATACTCTTATCGCAGTTTCCCACTCGACAGTCACTTCTGGAACCAAGACTTTGACGGTTCCTATCACTCTGACTGAGACAATCACCGTGACCACCACTGACGTCTTTGACTTGAACCTCGAGACTCAAGTGGTCGTGCCCACTGGAACTGTGTCTATCCACACTCTAGTTCCAACTTCTGTTCCCACTCAGAACGTGACTACTATTTCGCCGCCTCCATTTACGATTATCTCAACAGGTGTACCCAGCAACACTACTGTCGTCCCAACCCAGCCCCCTCCTTTCGCCAACAGCACCACTGTTCCATCTGTTCCTACTCCGCCCGCTCCTTTCGCCAACAGCACCACTGTTCCATCTGTTCCTACTCCGCCGGTTCCTGTTCCCCCTGGACAGCCTTCTGTTCCTGCCCAGCCTTCCGTTCCTGCCCAGCCTTCCGTTCCTGCCCAACCTTCCGTTCCTGCACAGCCTTCCGTTCCTGGTCAGCCTTCTGTTCCTGGTCAGCCTTCGGTTCCTGGTCAGCCTTCGGTTCCTGGTCAGCCTTCGGTTCCTGCCCAGCCTTCTGTTCCTGGTCAGCCTTCTGTTCCTGGCCAACCCTCTGTTCCCGGCCAGCCCTCTGTTCCAGCACAGCCCCCCGCTCCTCCAAGCCAGCCCACTGCTGTCCCACCGGTGCCGCCAGCTCAGCCTCCTGCCCAAGGCTCCGCTTCCCAGTTCGAGCCCGCCGCCGGTCTCCTGGCTGGTGTCGTGGGTATCATGCTCATGCTTTAAAGCACTCATCTATGGCCTTCCGTTTTCAAGGTGACTGGTTGTCATACGGGCGGGAAAGGTATATTTTCGATAATCCTGGATTTTCTCTTCTCGCACGGTTTTGACTTGGTCTCTGTTTGTCATATGACATCCAAATTTCGGCCATCCACTTGGAAAAAGTTGTTCCTTCGCTCATGGTTTATGGACGGAGTTATTGTTTGTCAAATAACGAAGTAATAGTAATATAATGTGGGCGTAGCAAATACATTGCAAGCTCTAATAGAGTCAATCACACCCTACTGTCTTTCTAATGACTCTCTTAAGTTTAAATGATAAATTTCGAGCCTGTCTAGTCAGCCGGTTCCTACCACGTCGGAATTATGTTCAGGCCATCAGACTGTAGGTGAAATCTCGTACATCCGGTTCAATTCGTAGACGTGTGTAACCATATTCGAGAACAGCGACTTGCGATTATATAGACACTGCTGAAGCGTCCTCGAATGCAAAACTAAAATGTCAAGCCGGTAGAAAAGTTATCCAAGTGCCATCTATTTGACATTGATTCTATGGTCAGGTTTGCTCTATGCAAAAAAATAGCTTAAAGCAGGGTCCCAAAAGAAAGACGCAGACGCCTCCATTTCATCAATCTAAACCTTTAATAGAGACTGAAAGGAGGAAGACTAGAGGATATATGAAAGATAAATACATTTGTAAGAGAACAGAGAAGTGTTGTCGAAACGGTTCACTACCTCAAGCCCTGGAGCTCCTGCTCGACTTCGGCCTTGACCACTTCTCGGACACCCACCCATCCGGCGCCGGCGCGGATAGGAGTGACTCTGCTTTCGCGCTGCTCGAGCCCAATGAATTCCTGGGGAAGAACCTCAGTGAAGTCATAGCCGTCTTCGGTGCGCAGGGCCAGGTCGACGGCGCTTGCGAATTTGGCCGGGTGGGCAGTGGAGAGGGAGATGTGCTTCACCCCAGGATTACGCTCGATGGAATGGAGAGCTGCCCGCACACCGACGGCAGAGTGAGGATCGAGAATGTAGCCGCCAGTCTTGGAGCTCTTGGCGCTGCCGGGGCCGAGGTTGGAGGGGAAGGAAGAGGTGTAGGTGGACTTGATTTGGTCAATGGTCTCGTCGTTGCTCACCCGCTCACTCTCGAACTCAGCCTTGGCGCCCTCGAGGACGGCCTGGGGTACGGTGAAGCCACCCTGTGTCTTGAGCTGATTCAGCCAATTGCTGACGCTCTCGCAGGCGTGCTTGCGTCTTTCGTCTGCAGAGCTGGCGCCGTCCGCCTGGAAGGCAAGGAACCAAAGGAGACGCTCGAAGTTGCTGCTGACGAGAATGTCCATGGCGGGGCTGTGAGTCTCCTTGACGCCGTCGGCCTGTGCGGTGTTCTTGGTGTACTGGCCACCACTACGGAAGAAGCGGTCCAGGATGTCGTTCTCATTCGTTGCGATGACAAGCTTCTCTGCGGGAAGGCCCATGCGCTTAGCGAACCATCCGGCGAGGATGTCACCGAAATTTCCCGAAGGCACAACGAAGCGCATCTTCGTGTCTTCGGAGTAGCCAGGGGTTTTGGTGAGAGAGAAGTAGGAGTAGAAGTAGTATGTGATCTGAGCCAGAATACGAGCCCAGTTGATGGAGTTAACAGCGGCAATGTTGTGGGTCGAGTTGAGATCAGGATCGGCAAACAAGGCCTTGACAATGTCCTGGCAATCATCGAAAGAGCCCTCGACTGTCAGGTTGTGTACGTTGGCATCCAAGACAGTCGTCATCTGAGCCTGCTGAATAGGCGACACCCGTCCAGTGGGGAAGAGGATGAAGATGGAGACATCCTTCTTGCCCCGGAGACCATAGATGGCTGCAGATCCAGTATCTCCACTGGTGGCACCAATAACGGTCAAGTGGTGTCTGTCCTTGCCCTGCTTGCCCTCATTCTTGCGCACCAAGAAATATTCAAAGAGGTTTCCGAGGAACTGTAGCGCGACATCCTTGAAGGCGAATGTTGGTCCGTGGAACAATTCGAGCAAGTAGAGGTTGCGTTTTCCGTCCAGTTCAACCAGAGGCGTCCGTTCAGGGTGCCGGAACGTAGCGTATGAGCGTCTGATGATATCTTTGAGGTCTTCTGAGGGGATTTCGCTCGGTGAGATGTACAACGACATGATACGATATGCCAGATCTTCGAAACTCAGGTCGCGCCACTCCGTCTCCCATCCCGCAGGAAGCGAGGGAATCTCTTCGGGGATGAACAGGCCACCATCAGACGCCAATCCCTTAAGGACGACATCTTCGAAGGACAGCTATACAGCCAGAAGGGTCAGCAGAATATTTTTTTTTGGGATGAGGTTAGAATCTTCTCGACCAACCCCGTAGGAGGCACCCCGCGTGCTGAGATATTTTTGCGAAAGCGTATGAGACATGCCTAGGAAGTAAAATTTGATGTCGTGCGTATACCAGCTGTCTCAATTGGGATGACGGCCCCGTGTACAAGACAATTGCAATTAGAGACTCAATTGTAAAAGAATGAACGAAGGCGAGTCTGGTGATGATTCATCCCACCACAAAACTGAACTATCTTCAAAACGCCGCGGGGAGGACCATGCCTGTTTGGGGCTTAGCGTCTCCGACAACGGACACACCGAAATCACGTGTATTAATGGTTGGCCCGCTGATATCTTGGCATCATATGATGCAAGGAGGTAATACTCGGCCTGAATTCAAGCATAGTCAATCAAATGAACGAGCGAGAGAACACAGAAAAATGAATTTGGATAACTATGTAGGTTAATTATTATCCAGCTCGGTGCGAATGGGACAATGGTATGGGATCTATATCAACAACTGTAAATACTACTCCTGGTTGAGAAGGCCACGCCAAATCATCAAATAACCAGAGCTTCCCCGCGTTAGAATAGTGACAGAATATCCTCATTAGTCTTTTTTTGCTGACTGGCCCCCGGGGGTGGCGATGTGGTGTTGGCGGAGAGATCAAGGCCAGAGAATCCGTTCATGAGATCTGCAGTGGCACCACCGCCGTTGGGAACAGCGTTGCTGGATGATGCGGTGGCACTGCCACTATCGCCGAACACGCCAAGGAGGTCATCCAGGTTATTGCTTGGGGCAGGAGCGGGTGCGCCAACAGCAGGAGACTCTACTCGAACGGGAGTACCAGCAAGACCCTCAAGACCAGACATTCCACTAGCAGGTTCTTTCTGAGTCGAAGCGGGAGCTGCGCCATCGAAATCGATATCCAGGAGGTTCTCGATGTTGCTCTGAGCCTGTGGCGGGGGTGTAGCACCCGTGACTGCGGCAGCAGCAGCGGCTGCAGCCAAGGGGTTTTCACGGGCGTTTTGGATTTGTTCCCTGTTCCATCATATTAGCTGAGTGCTCAAGAATGGATTGAGAAGCAGGGTAACGAACTCAATAGCAGCGCGTTGCACGGCATCTGCGCCAAATCTGCCCTGACCGACAAATTGCTCTGGTGGTTTGTGGTAGACGGATGCAAGAGTAGAGAGTTCACCGATCAGCTGTTCAAGAAGAGCGGGGGGTAGAGAGTGGATCGTCGTGACGATAGGAGGCTTCTGGGAAAGAACAATGTTCTTGGTAGCATTGGGATCGCTTGTGTTCGAGAGAAGACGCCAGTATACGTAGGCTCGGTCACGGACATCGGGATTATCGTTCTCAGCCGTTGCCGCCTGGAGAACTTTCTGAACCAGTCCTTGAGCCTTCTCAGGCCGCTTCAAGAATAGCTTTACGACGGCAGTAAGAATCTGAAGCTGGGTCTGATTAAAGAATTAGCTTTGGCATCCACAAGTCGAGCGCAGCAACCAGACCTGTGAGAATTCCTCATTGAACCCTTCCACAAACCCGGCCAGAATATCCCCAGCATTGCTGATCTTCTCTGCATATTCTCCCACGATCCAGATGAGCGCGGCACGGGCGTTTGGTTCATCCAATTCGTCAATGCATTTGCAGAGAGTAGGGATGATGCCTTCGTATCCAGGGTATTTTCGGAAAATGTCTTTGATGACAACGATAGCCTCCTGTACGACGTAGTTCACTTTGGTGTTGATCAAATCCAATAATGTGTTCACACACTTCTCGCACGAACTCTCGATCTTGATGGCAACCTGGCCTATGGCTCTCACGGCGCGCCGCACGAAATCCATATCGACTTCCAATGCGTACTCCCGCAGCTCAGCGAGGAGCTGATCGACGTTGCGGTCGTTGGCTATGCGGACCATAATTTCCAGTTTCTGGAACTTGACATAAGGAGGGTCATTGTACTTGCAGAAGAAAACTCGCAACTCTTTATTCAGAATATCGGGCTGCTTCTGCAACAACAGATCGATGTTGCGCAATGCGACGTATTGTACTTCCGGGGCGGAGGACACCAGAGTCACTATATAGATATCAGCGTGCCATGCCTTCGGGATAACAAGTCGGCTCGAGAGGAATACCTAGAGGGGGAGCCATCTTCTTCAAGTAGTTGCTCGACAACTCCTGCTTAATGTTCTTCATGTGCAGGAAAACGACCTTGACTGCTGCCAGGACTACACTTGGATTGGCATGTTGAAATTGTGGCGCGACTCGCTCGCAGATGTGCTCTGATTCTGTCACATCACTGGTTTTGTATTCTGCCAGAGTCGTCAGGATTGTGACCCGACCCCACTCAGTACATTCATTCAACGCCATCAGCAACTTGCGCAGTATGTTCGATGTCACTTGGAGGGCTCGAGCCTCGGGAGCGGCATGATGGATCTCTGAAAGCGCGGTCACCGAGTTTGCAACCACCATCGGATTTGGATCGCCGATCATTTCCTGCAGCATCTCAAGGAAACCATTCTCCAAACACAATGAAGGATTCAAGTCGAATAGCTTCGCCACGCAGATCGCGGCAGTCTTTCGGACATAGGGTGATTCGTCCCGGAGTGTCTTGCGAAGTGGCTCCTCCATGTAGTCAACCATTTTATCCACCCGAATACATCCCATTGTTCTGATAGCCAGTGCTCTAATCAACGGGTTGGGGTCTTCGGAGTCTTGTACAAATGTATTCACGGCGAGAATGCAAAGATCCGGATGAGATTTGGCGTAATTCCTTTTTTGACGCATGGTGGATCAGCGAACGGAGCGGCCACCGAGCGAAATCAGGAATACTCACATGAGATATAGATATACAAGCTTCTTCTGTTCAAGATCACTCGTCGCAATATTCTTGAGGACATCAGGGAAAAGAGCCGAGACATCCTTTCCCAGAGTCATGGCCATGATGGTCTTCTGAATGGCTTCCTTCCTGGAACAGTGTTAGAATGCACTCTCAATCAGCGGCGCAAGTAGTAAATAGGGTCAAAAGAGCTGTGAGAGAAAACAAAAGTATTCCACATACCGTTCGTACGCATACTGAGATCTATCATTCCGGTCAGCGACACAGTCCGCTTAATGAAACTTACGTAGGGTGGAGGAACTCCGTACACAAGACCAGCTCGCAATTCAAACGTTTCTCCTTTTCTAGGCACTGCAAAAGCGCCGCGGATCCTGCTCATCGCCATTTTGAGGCACGAAAGCTTCAGCGACGACTAGGTCGCGCCTCCGCAAACAATATTTTTACCGTAGGTGAGAAGAAGTGCTTCGTTGCGGACCACTGCGGGGAATTCGGCGGCGAAGCTTCAGGGACCAGTTCGACTCGAGCGGACGTGACGATGCAACACTTGAAATGAGACCAGGATCCCGAATGCCCAAATTGGTCTCGGGTTTATAGAGAAAATAGATAAGGGCAGAAAGTATGGAGCAATCCGTCTCCCTCAAGTGTGCTGGTGAGGTTAAGGAAAGCAAATGGTCTGGTCTGGTCTAGGTCAATTGTCACGGGCCCAAAAGTGTCCACAAAACGCGGCTCATGATTTCCCCAAACCGGAGCCACCACCAATCCATCCGACTCCGTCTGGTCCACTTCAGGTCCCTAACTCTTCGAGGATTCTCTGATTTATTGACCCTGTTGTAAGGAGCACATTTGTTGAGTTAGGATTTGATGTCATGGTAGGTACCGCTTGTCATGATGGACGTCAATTATTCATTTTCATCGCCAGGCGAACCTCCCTAATCTGCGACGCCTGTTCGTCGAGGCAAGAACAGAGGCTGAAGAAAACGAGCACTCAAGGACAGCTGTATGTTCTCATCTACCGTATTCAGTGCAAGATCCTATGCTGAAGATAATTGCAGTTCTACAACCTCGTACTCTTTATCTCCTCGGTCGCCGTCTTCAGCTTAGTAGCGCAACGAATGAGCGGCTCGAAGTCAGGAAGATGATGAACGCAATGACGCTTTACTTCTATCACTTCGTCAATCTAAGAGTGCCACATCGTGGTATCGAATGGCACATTCTACTCCCTGCCAATATCGGAGGACTCGAGAGGCAGGCAAGATCCCAACATCGAGATCAGACGCGAAGTTGGCATTCACAAGAGTGGCCATCAAAATGTCAAGGGACTTATTGATAATCAAGCATTCATTATTATGCTCCCGAAAGACGAGATGACTTGGTGGACTTGGTCACCTGCCTTTGTCTGGGTTCTTCTTTCACTCTCAGCCAGGGCATATGGAGGCTAAGCGACACCATGTTGGAAGCAGTGGCTGTCCCTATCTACTATGTCTGCCTACCTGATTAGCTCACAGGATGCTGTGTGTTCACTGAAGCTCTGTACAGTGGAACAGGTGACAACATGCTACGGCTTCCTCGTTAACGTCAATAGAAGAAAATCGCTTGAGGCTTACTTCTGTTCTCAACATGATTGGAGCTCTGGCTGTCACTTCGCCGCCGCAATGCTTGGCCAAATCTGCTCAATGAACCCCGTCAAGTCCTCTTTCAGGTCCTGGGGTCGCTCAAGCGCCGCAAAATGGCCGCCCTGAATGAGAGAGTTAGCGGGTCAGATGAATTTGAATGGAGACCAAGGTTCATACCTTCTGGTGATCCTTGAAGAATATCAAATTTCCTGTTGTGGCCACCCAGGATTTAGGAGCCGGATAAAGCTCCATGGGGAAATAGGAAAAGCCAAATGGTTTCCGGATGAACCACCGTGTACTCAGTTCAGAGGTGAATTTTCTATGAGGATAGTCCTGTTTCACCCTGTATCAGCATCCCTCCTTATTCCATTAGATCGGATCCCCAAACCTCGCGGTAAAAGTAGATGGCCCGGGGATATGTCTCGGTAAACCAGTACAGAGAAACAAAATCTAGGATGGTCTCTAAAGGAAGAGGATCATCCACCCAATCGAGGAATTTCTCTCCAACCCTAGTCACGCGGTTAATGGGATGTTTTGCGCTTTTGAGCATCATCATGCTTACCAGGCCAGCAGCGCCATGGGGTTGGTAGACAGGACAAGACCTATGGTGCTTGGTCTAGTGCCCTGTTCGATTGCATATGCTGTCCCAGTCGTCAGGAAGGTATTCAGCCTCTCTACTCCGAGTTTCTCAGAGGCAGACAAGCTGTGATCTGAAAAGCCCTCTGGGCGTGGGACAGTAGTGAAGTTCACTATTACTTGTTAACACCACCTCAGACAGGCGCAGAAGAAATAAGCTCACGGTGAGCGGCTACAGCAACGTCAGTATGCATTACAATTGAAGGCGTGAACTTTGAACTGACCTTTACAGCTTTCGAAATCCACTGCCAGCACCCTGGAGATGCGACTTCCGATATCTCCTCCCTGGGCGATATAGCCGCCTCCAAAACCGAGCCCTTTCATCAACTGGTCCATCAATCGTGCCACGTCATGGCTCTTATACTCCCTGTCCAAGGGTGGGCCAGACGAGAACCCATAACCCGGAAGCGAAGGCACAATCAAGTGATACGGCAACGTGGTCGGAGTGTATTCCTCCTTGAACAGCTGAAGCATGGGGAGAAACTCCAGAAAACTACCTATAGTTTTCCGTAAGCACCGCACGAAATAAGCGAGGGCAATCAACCATTACCAGGCCATCCATGAAGCAATATCACAGGAACTGCGTCTTTCTTTTTTGAGAACAAAGCTGCGAAGTGCAGCGATATGTCCTCAATCTTGGTTGTGAACTGAGGGAAGCTATTGATACGGGCCTCAGTGGCTCTCCAGTTGTAGTCGTTCAACCATTTCTCTCGCATGGTCGTCAGCCAGTCGGACGTGACGCCATATCGACGGTCCTGTTGCTGGTTCTCGAGCGTGGGTGGAGCTATCTTAGCGAGCTTCACCAGGGTCGTCAACTCGGTTATCTGTTCATCTGGAAAGGCCACTCGAAACGGAGCTGGGACGATGGTTGCTGTTGAAGGAAACTGGCTGAATGGGACAGACATGGTGATAGTTGCTGATGTAGGGAAGATAGATGATTCATGTGAGACTCTACATTCCGGTGGATTTCTAAGGCAGAAGGTCCCTAGTATTAATAATAACAGAGGATGTGAAAACAGGCTGCAGTGCGGGGTAAGTCAACCAAAATTATGGATATCATCCATTGCGATAACTGGTGACCTTGTATCCATGATGGCCGAAGCTGTATAGTTTCCTCGTTAGGAGGAATGGGACCAAATTCAAAGCTGTCCTAAAAAGTGGGATTAGATAGACAAAAGGCAGTATGCTATCAAAGATTCTTATATTTTCACCGCCCACACCTTTGCCCTCATTGTCGGTCTCTAAACACCATTCTGCGGGAAAAGCTAAAGAAGACTGTATGGGTATCCTGATGAGGCAAAAATTGAAGTAGAGTGAACAATATAATAGCCCGAGGATGTTATCAATTCCTCAGCACCCCGTGTCTGCAGCGACCATCTTCCTCGACCAACCACCAAGCTGTCTTCAATTCTGCCCTGCAGCACCAAACAACTTTATCATAGGCACCTATCTGCTATCCGAGAACAAAGACAGCGATGGAAACGTGCAGCAGACGAAGACTGGAAGCCTCCAATTATGGAACTTCAATCCGCTGAACAATGAACTGTGAGATCTATATCATTCCTCCTCCCGAATCCCAGGCTGACCGATAGGCTATACAACACTCAGCTCTCTCATTCAGCGACTATCACTGCCATATGCTGTCTTTGATCTTCATTTCCATCCGAGAGATCCCAGCATCCTTGCCATTGCCACAAGCGCTGCATCTGTGACACTTTTCAAAATCTCAACTGACCCCGAACCCACCATCAGCCATCTATGGACCTTACCCGTCCACGAGGATCCCTCAGTCCCGGCTTTGTTCTTAGCCTGGGCCCCTCAGAACTGGTTTCCGAGTAGCGAGCAAGACGGGTTCGTCGTCACATTCTCGGACGGCCGGACGAGCGTCTATGGCACCTTCTCTGCCGACAAGGCAGAGGCAGCGCTAACAGAGCAATCCAACATTATCGAACAGGGAACATTCGAGGCCACCCAGCCCATCGAAGTATGGTTCGTGGCTCTGGCGTCATTCCGCGAGCCCGCATCAACTGAGGAACGCAGTATTCCCCACCTCTTCACAGGGAATGACTTCGGCTCGCTGCATACATGCCAATTCAGCGCGCAAGCAGGAGAAGGAGAAGAGCCTTTGGCGGCCCTCGTCCTCGACTACGACGACCGTGCCCGTCACCATACGGCGGGAGTAACGAGTATCCTCCCTCTGCCCCTTCCGCTTCGTGAAGGCGCTCCCTTGCTGCTTACCGGTAGCTATGATGAGTACCTGCGTGTCTACCATGCCACGCGTAGGGGCCAGGTGCTCGCTGAAGAATGCCTCGGGGGCGGTGTCTGGCGACTACAGCTGTTGAAGACGGAACAAAGGCCTGCCTCGGAAATGGAGGGCGAATGGTGGAGGTTTCTGATTCTAGCTAGCTGTATGCATGCTGGGACAAGGGTGGTGGCGGTGACGTGGAAACCTCAGGGGGCAGATGACTCGGGGTCAGAATGGAGTATCGATGTCCTGGCCCAGTTTACGGAGCATGAGAGCATGAATTATGCATCTGACGTGTGGAAACCGGAGGGAGGATACGACTTGGAAGGCAAGGACATATCGGAGCTGGTTTTTGTTTCCAGCAGTTTCTACGACCGACGAGTCTGTATATGGAGAGTAGATATACAGGCGGAACAATCTCCAATTCAGTCAGAGGGGTAAAATAATGGAATTTATTTGTCGTGAGAAGATAACGCTCGAACAAGATTCATGATGCAAAGCGAGAGGTATACAAATACAACCCCACCCGGAATCCGGAAAACACTCAAAAATGGCAAATGGAAGTCGTCGCATAGATCTGTTGATCAACTAGACAATCGTCTCCAACTCCCGAGCGTAGCCTATCGTGTTCTCGATGACCGTGCTGCTTGCTACCAGGATGTCCTTCTCAGACCGAGCCGCGGCTTCGGGCTCGACTGGGAAGTATATCCGTCCATCACGGAGTACCCACCCTCGCTGCTGAGCGAACTCAACAACAGCTCCCTCGGAGTCAAGGAACAAAAGATTCTTGGCGTTAGAAATGGGAAGCGAAGGATACGCTTTCTCGGAGCAGTCCGCGATTTCACCTCGAATGGTTCCAACAAGGACCTATTGAAACAAAATCATCAAAAATTGTTCAGCAGCAGACCAAAAGAACAAAGTTCTATGGAAGAAGGATAGACTCACGTTGGAAAACAGAGCAAAGTCCTCCGAAGGCACTCTCTCTGAGTTGGTCTCTCTCCACACCTTGTCATAACTTCCCTCCATCAAGCTCCGCTCCAGGTCAACGGGGTATTTGATGTACAGATCATCCTCCACGCGCTTGCCCTGTAGACTCGCCTCCTCAACCAAGCCTTCCAACACAGTGTGGAAACTAGTGCTATCACCCATGCTCAGCAAAAGCATCAGATACAAACCTGTAATCTTGCTCCGCTGGCTAGACCTAGTATCCACATTCACTGAGCCCGTGCTATCCCTCTCAAGGTCGTAAAAGGGTTGCAGCTGCTGGTAATATCTCGTGAAGCCTTGTGCGTCGGTCTGTCGAATGGACGCAAGGGCTCCGAGTTCCAGAACTTCACGAGCAAGCGGGATGAGCTCAGATGGTGTAGAAGGTGTGGGAATCAGCGCATTCTGAAGGAGAAGAGTCCGCTTTGCTCGGCTGAGGAGGTTGTTGGCAGCATCGAGCTGTTTGCGGTTGAGAGCATTATGGAGCTCTGAAACGAGGGATCGGAGCTCGGCGCCGTCTGCCATGGTAGTGACGTCTCCTTGATATTCTCTTGTCAGGGGCGTAAATAATCTATATGAGAATGTCCAGAGCCAGGTGGAAAGAGAAGAAAGACTATAGAAGCAGTGTGATGGTGTAGGCGGAGGTTGGTTGATGTTGCTGTCAGCTCCCAAGAGCTTCTCCAGCGACAGTATTGTCTTGGCGGGCGGTCAGTTACATCACGTGATCTGACGTATCTTGTCTGGACAGTTAGCTGTCTGGAGAGCATCTTCGTTTCAATTTCGACGTGCCTACGGTAAACCACTACTGCCAGTCCGCAATACCAGTACTATTGTGATTGAGTATCTGCTTACTGCAGATATTGCCTCAGTGCCCTACGCAGACTGGATCGCTAGGCAGGGGAGGTCCTTAAGGCGCTTACAAGGGCTCTGGGGTGTAGGGAAATAGTATACTAATTTATTAAAGCATCAGATTACCCCTTCTTTTTCTCCTTCACAACCTCATAAGGTACTTTAAACGCTCGTGGCTAGTTTTACCAGAGTATTATAAAAGGGCGTTCCAAGCCCGGTAACAGGATCCCATCCCGGCGTTGCGTTCCAGCTTGCTTGGGGAACCAGTTGTTCGTTGCTGGCGCCAACATAGCAACCCGATGAGCCACCATCAACAATATCTGTGAACCCTGTCTGGTTGAGGGAATAGAGCCATGGATTTAAGAACCCTAGTCTTGGCAGACCATCCTCTAGTCGGGCAGCATTTAATCGGGAGACGATGGCTGCAAATACAGGCGCAGATGCACTACAACAACGGTTAGCGCGAAGTTTCTAAGAGCGACACTTATCTTAATAACGGACCTTGTGCCGCCTATTTTCAACGTTTTCCCGTGATCAATGATGACAAAGTTAGTGGCCTGAGCGGCAACGTCAGGGAAACCTCTCCCGCTCGGGTTGTATAAACCGTTCCACCTGCTTCCGAGCTGCTCTAGGTAGCCCTGAACGCTCGAATCCTGATACGACGGACGTGGAAAGCGATCTGAGAAGCCTCCGCTAGAGAAGCTAATTGCTTTCTCGGGTTGGACATCGTAGGTACCGCCAACAGCGGTAACAAATGGACAGGATGCTGGGAAGACAGGCAGGAATCGGGTTCTGTTGGTTCCATCGTTTGTTATGCATGTTGAACCAACGCCCGAATCACCGCTACTGAAGACGACAGACACACCGCGTGCGCCGAGCTGCGCGAAGAGATTGCAAGTTGCGTTTGTGTATGATTCAGGGACGCTTTGCTCATCTTCGCCATACGAGGTTGAAAGAACCGCGGGAAGTTCTTCATCTGGAAGATCAAGAAGGTAATGAAGTTGATCCAAGTAAGGCTCATTGGTCGACACGTTCGTATCCGTCTGACCTTCCTCAGGCACAACTGGTCCTCGGCCTCCCGTTGTATAGTAGGTTCCAAGCGTTTTATACGCCAAAGAGTAGGCGTATTGGACGTCTAGGCTGGCTTCAGTGCTGCTTATCGATGAGTTCTGCAGGTTGAGACCGCCATTTATCGAGACCACGGTGAAGTTGAAGTCTGTCCTATTGGGTGCGTACAAGCTCATGAAATTCTCAAAGTCTTCATAGCGTGCGTACTGATCTAGGAATCCGGAAACTCCCAATCTGTTGCGGGGGTCGGGTTGGGCACTGGTATCATAAATCCCGTACAATTCGCGAAGGCAATTCGGCGTTATGGTTGCGGAGCAATTCGCCGCCAGCTCTTCCAGGCTAGCAGCAGTTCCCTGGAAAAGTGGTTGCCGTTCGTACCGGACAGGTCGTCCAAAGCGGGTCGTTGGTTGGATCATCTGAATATAACGGTGGATGTCATCGGGAACGGAATACTCAAGTGTTCTGACTTGCGTCGTATTTGTCTCCGCATGCTGGAAGGCATAGAAGCGCGTTCTTAGCATACGTTCCGACTGTGAGACCGGGATAGTGAAAGTGACCCAGCTGCCATGATTTTCGATCGAGCCAGCAGGAACATTCTCTGATTTCAGCCAGGAAAGGACTTTGTCCGTGGCCTCATCGGAAGGACGCAGGAATTCCCAGACATCATCACGCTTCATATGTTGTCCATAGCTCGAGTGACCCGGTGTTGACATGTCAATGACCCTTCGCTCGAATTCAGCGGCTCTTTCCTGGTTCATA